GGAAGAAATCTTGGGTTTGATAGCACGATACTGATATTGCACTGTGGCGCTTATCAAATCAACATAACAGCAGCTCCTGCAGCAAAACAGGGTCAAGAGTTGAATATCCAGTGTTAATAGTATGGACGTACTAGATTCACCAATTTTCTAATCGATTTCAAAAAAATAAGGAGTTACTCAGTTGTACCTGTGTATGGTATTCGCGACAGGCTGAACCGATTTTGATTTAATGTGGTTTTCAGAACAGTGTTTGTTACAAGGATTAGAACGGTTTTAGTATATTAATTAACAGACTTCAAAAAACAGTTGAAGTCAGTTTTTTAACTCGTCGAGTATCGTCAATATAGACACAAGTATAGAACAATAGGTTGCGGTCACCGGTGACCGCTTGGTGTTTGACAGTTTAAAGGTACCTAGATTATAAAAGAATTCCTTATTATTTTTATTAATAAACAAGGATATTTTTATATATACGCTGCTACCCACTTATCGCAGAATAAGAAGCGTTATGCCATGATGTAATTTATTATAATGTAAAATGATTAATTAATGTTGCATAATTTTGTAATTTGGTATCTTGGTTTCCTAAAGAGGTTTTTAGCTTTGCAAGTGGTTTGGGAATATTGCAGGTAGGTCACCTATATTTTGGAGTTGAATTCTCCCTCAGTTGGACTGCCTCGTTGGCCGAGTGGTCGCAAGTGCGGCTGCCGGGCAAGGGGTTTCGGGTTCGATTCCCGGGTCGGGAAAAGTGTCACTGGGTTTTAAAAAAAACTTAGTAGTAGCACGGAGTCTGAAAATGTGCCTAGTATATGATAATAGGCTCACCCTCTATTACATGGGACTCATAACATAAATATCTAGTGAAAAGTGTGTGTTATTTCTGTGTGCACCTCTGCCTACCCCTTCAGGGATAAAAGGCGTGATATTATGTTATTCTTCCTCAATCGCAGTTTTAGGAGATACTCTAATACAGTACGTATATATATATATACTATTGTCAAATTCATATCGGTATTTGAAACTCAAACGAATGAACTCCGAATTCATTTAAAATTTTTAACGAACACTTTTAACGAATAACAGTACAACATCCACGTTCTAAATTTAAAATCCGCCAATTAAGAAGCGTGATTTATTTGTAACTTTTATTTAAACCGGTTTTATGCAGTTTATGTTATTTTATTAGAAAAAACTTGTCCCACATAGTTTTATGATAAATAATGTAACTAACTGAATTTGTTTTTATATTTATGAATTAATAACCTAGTTAGGTTAGATAAATGATTGTTCTAGAATTTGAATGTTCAAGAGATGCATTTCATAACTGTATTTTACAAATTTGTAAATTACCTTAAGCTCAACAGGTCAAGTATAAAACTTTTGGTACTGGTTTTTGGGTGAAAATGGTTGTGTGGTGTCAGAATAATCATTTGTTGCCCCCTACTCTTCACGTGGGTATCAAAAGGAGATAGAGAGAAGAAACAAAAATAATTTATTTGCACCGTAACACACAAATAACTAACAAAGAAACGAATAAATTGATTATTATGTTTTTCGGCTTACTCAAGTAATTATTTGACGAGGATTTTCACCACTAGCCAGCCCTATCATGCACAAAGCAATAAATTGAGTTAAAATTGTAAGTAGGTATAGCACAGATATGCCTTTTTGGAGCAGCATCCTTAATACTATAATACGAATTATTTATAGATTATTGTTGGAATATTTTATTATATGTATCAAAATAATAATTTATAATATTATGTTCAGCACCGTGTATACATATATAATATTATATTCATCTGGAACACCACTGGCACCATCTAGTATACTAGGCAATATATTATAAGTTGTTAGTTGATTCCGGACTACTCAGCGTGTATCATTAATATTTATACAGTAAAATTGACAAAAGAGATGATATTTTCGACAGTTTTTTTTATACTTTGGGGTTGAATACACAGTAATAATTATCCTGCCGTTAAATATTTCAAGCATTTTTCATTTTCTAGCCGCTGTATTCAAAGTCAAAGTCAAAGTCAAAATCATTTATTTCAATTAGGCCAGAATGGCACTTTTGAACGTCAACAAAAAAAAATTGAATGTGAAGCTATTTGCTCATTCCAAGGCGTAGATTCTTATGGAAAAGAACGAGCAAGAAACTCCATAGGTTACTCTTTTTCAACCAGGTTCACAATACAATTTACTAGAGGTAGTTACATAGTTTTGCTGTTTTGATTGTGCGAGAACAATGTAACACTAGAATATTTCCACCTGTCATAGATATCAAAATCCTGTCGTAACATACCAACTCTCCTTCCTTAGTGATGTCATAGAATATGATCGATAGTTTTGTTACCGATTGCAGTGAAGCAAGACAGTTACGCGTTACTTCCTATGTATGTATGTGTATAACTTTTTGTGGCAATCTCGTAAACTCCTGCATTGGTTTCAACAATGAAGTGTTGATGTTTTGCACGGGAAGTATTCAAGTTGGTTATTGTCTTAATCATGTTACGTTTATTATTGTTTAATCATTTAAAATTGATATTTTTATTGGTGAGGATGAGTTTTTTATATGGCATAAGGCGGTAAACGAGCAGATATTTTTGTAAGCAGCACCTGATGGTAAGCAATCGGCGTCGCCTATGGACACCTGGAACACCAGAGGCGTTACAAGTGAGGCGAAAGAGGCGTTACCGGCCTTTTGGGGATTAGGAGTTTGAGGATTGTGGTTTAGTTTTAAATGCTTTTTTATGGAGTAGGAGGCAAACGAGCAGACTGATCACCTGATGGTAAGCAATCGGCGTCGCCTATGGACACCTACAACACCAGAGGAGTCTCGGGTGTGTTGCAGTAACAAGTTGCTTCTCAGAAATTATGACACGGGTGCAATAATATGACATTGGTATTATTCGCTAGTTCAGTAACCAATTTTCAGTTGATGGGTAGATTGTGTGCAATTTTATTACACCAAACGCGAACGGTTGCAAACGCGACTACCTAACAATTTTGTTTTGATGTAATATAATATAATATAAATAAATAAATGTAAGTTTGGATTTCTTGAAATTTTGTGATGTTGCATGGTTTCTGTGGAATAGGGATGATGACAGGGCATGAAAATTAAAAATATAATTAGTCCGTAAGTAATAAAAAAATATAAGACACGTATTTTTTATTTTGTTGTATAATAAAACGATACTTAGCTATAACGAATCAAAGTTTAGGAGTGGGGGCTAAAACGTCATTTCTACGTATAAAATGTACATAGAAGTGACGTCACGCGACATTTCAAATCAAAATATCTTCGGAACTATTCGTTTCCGTAAAAGAATAAAAAATACGTGTCTAATGTAATCTACCAGACAGACATTAAAATAAAAATTAGTCATCTACCCTATTGTGTGCAAGCACCTCATTAACTAGATATGGAACATTACACAATTAAAAGTTTAACTTCAAGACTAAATAATAATAATAATAATACATAATTTAAATGCATAAATACTGTAACATTATCTCTTCCATACATGCATAGCGACGCATTGAACGTATGTATATTAATTGTTAACCTCCTTATTGAAACGGGTTTAAAATTTAGGTGAATTGACCATTTTAGAATGCATTTGCATCTTCGGATAAGTTGTTGACAACAGAAGGTCAATGTCTTGTAATATTTGTACAGAAATGTAGTTTCTATCTATAGATAAATTGATATAATAATGCTTGTTTTACATAAATAGGTAGGCAGAGATAGGGAACATTTAGAAACGTATGACACAAATTGTTGTTTCGGGTCTGAGTGTCATGTGTATGTGAACTTATATGTTTGTAAACGCACCCACGACACAGGAGAAAATCCTAGTGTGGGGCAACGTTTAATTATAAAAAAAAATGATAGTAAAATCCCGAGTAATCTTCGATCTCCCCAATCCCCGTATCCCCAACAATCATCAAATTCCTAATACCCATAAAGGTCGCAATGCACTTGAACTGCCTCTGGTGTTGCGAGTCTCCATGAGTGGTCATGCGACGTGGATTGCTTACCATCAGGAAATCCGTCTGTTCGTTTACCGGCTTATCCCAGAAAAGTCTTTTATAAGGTGGGTTTAATTTTTTATCCGGGATAAGAACGAATTCATACCAACAAAACATAAATAAAAAAATCCTACATATGCATAGAAATTAGCGGGGAGTTAACAAAAATAATACGTAGGTACATACATAAAACAATTCAATGCAAATGTTCCAATTAAAACCAATAAATCGTTACGAAATAATCATTATTAATTAATCATATAATTGTTGCAATCACGTCTAATGTTATTTTCACTAAGCCAAGAGATTGGTCTAAATTAATTTACTGCTGTGAATACTATGAAATCCAACTGTGGTATGCAATCAAAGCAAAAAGGCCTATTATTTCTAATAATAAATCAATGGATAAATGCTGACAATTCACTGTTATTGTGCAATTGTGATTTATTGCAGTCTGATACCAATAATTTAAATGCGAAAGTCAGTTTATATTTGTTTGTAACTTTTTATACTTTATTCCTCTAACCGATCTTTTTGAAATTAGAAGACTGGAGAAGGACAACGGTCAATGCTCTCGTGGTTAAATCTGCGAGTGTTTTTTTTTTTTTTTAAGAGGGGAAAATCATCAATGACTTTTCCCGCCTGAGTGAGGCGGTAGTGTCAGACTCTCAGACTCTTACTGACTAAAATCCACCCCGTTTCTACTCCTGCACTTCGAGCCAGAGCCTCGGTAACCCGTTAGGTTCTCCGCGGCAAATCTGCGGGTGTAAACTATGGACAAAAGGCCGATTTTTCAATGATTAGTTAACTTTTAACAGTAGAATAAAATTGTCAGTTGACGGTTTTCCAATATGGAAGAATTTGTCAAATATTTAAAGTTATTCCTAAATTAAAATTTATCTGAGCATTGAAAAATTGGCCATGAATATAATAAACAAACAATATAATTAATTACATACCTTATAAGTCCAATGTCAAGAACCAACCACTTGTAAAATAAAATCACAAATTCGATCAAAACACAGCACTATAACAGAACAAAATTAAAAAAATTCGTTCACTATAAATCATACACTATTTTCACAAATATATTTGCACTAAAAAAATGAAGAATTATAATAAACAGTTCAATCGATTCGTATTTTAAATCGATTAATCGATATCACTCGTTTACTCGATTGAGTGGGAGACAGGCTACTTCGAGTGACCCAGAGATACTAGTAAAGCGGCGCCGGCGTACGCGCAGCGCTCCGCATTCGAAAACACGGTTTGTACGTAGATGGAGCAATCTTGGTCGTTGTCATGTGGTCACTGTAAAAAATATTAATTTGTTCATCAATCGAGTGAATACTGTAAATAGATGTTTAGTACCTATCTTGATTCTTTTATTCGTATTTAATCTTACTCTCTTTTTATTTTAGACTAGCGACCCGCCCCGGCTTCGCACGGGTGCAATATGCATGTATTATACATACAAACCTTCCTTAAGAATCACTCTATCTATTAAAAAAAACCGCATCAAAATCCGTTGCGTAGTTTTAAAGATCTAAGCATACATACGGACATACAGCGAAAGCGACTTTGTTTTATACTATGTATTGATATGATTAATATAAAATGAGTTTTTAAAAACTCGATGAACGACATTACTTTAAAAAAATTAACACATCACAATAAAAATAAAGATATTATTATTATATCCCCACTAACTGGTATAATTTTAAACATAGCTTTCACATTATTTTAAGCTGGTATGTCATAAGTAAGTGTGCTAATTGACGAAAATAATTAATAAGTCACAGTTGAATATCATACAAAATAAATAGAAATGTATCGTGTTTGACATTTCGAACAAAAATTGACTCGTTTTTTTTTTCCTGTTTGGCAAACGAGTCTCCAAAATGATCTTGTCGACTATACTGCCAGTGTCCAGTGGTGACGGTAATTTAATGAAACGTCGAAATTAACTTTGTGGTAGTTTGTTGACTCGTTGTCATCATCCCTATTGCGTGCATCAAGTATCAAGCCTCACGTTTCGTCGTACAATTTTCCTCTACCCGCTAAGCAGGCGAATGCGCACGAGTTTCTACCGGCCACACGCCGATGTAAACAATTAACACATTGTAATTGATTTATTTCATAAAACAATTACAATGTGTTACCTATGTATGATTTATTCATAACTGTTGCTTTTGCATTTCAATTTTTTTTAATGTCAAAGACTTTTTTTCTTTGATAGTAGTAGTTTTAGTTTATGGATGCATATCATGAAATCTTTGTTGGAGATCTTGTGTTTGACATTTTGATTAATTTTGGTTGAAAGATTTCAAAGTGCTGCCGAGTCTGAGGTGTCAAGTCCAATTTCTAGTTTTGATAAAATATATCTGAATATAGCGGATATGAATGGGGCCGTCGGTAGAGGCGCCCTAGACGGACATATACTGACCAGATTGGCGATATATTAAAGAAGGGCCAAATTAAAAGTGCTCTTAACCGACGAGCATGCATGAACAGATTGATGACTGTTGATGAAGCGAAAGAGGTATGTAGGAATCGTAGTAATTGGCGTTCCCTAGTCTCTGCCTACCCCCATGAGAGACAGGCGTGAAATTACATATGTATGTATGTATGTATGTATGTATGTATGTATCTGAATAACTGGTTTTTTGAGAAATTGTTGATAAATTAAAAAGACTTTCATTGCTCGTATAATGAAATTATGCAAGCTGTTTAAAAATAAAATCGCTCTTTAATACACTAGAAACACGAACAAATACACATCGCTGCTTAACCCTAAGACAGAGAGAAGACGAGTTAATAGGGTATGTAAAACAAATCACTTGTTAAATGAAAGTTAGTACTAGCAAGAAATGAACACAACATGGGGCAAAATTGATGTGATCGGCCTAGCAAAGTGATTGGTTTTATGCGCTACTTGGTGCAAATCATGATAATGACTGCTACAAGCCACGGCATGTTTTTAATCCTCTTTTTCCAAGAGGAACAAAAGATCTGATAATTTTCTATTGTTATTGATTAAGATTGTAACTTTTTGTTATAATTTGGTCTTATTATACAGAATGTTTGGCGCATGGACACATTTTTTTAGAGACTTTTCGTACTTAAACTGTCAAACACCGCGAGGACACCGGTGACCGCAACCTATTGTTCTATAGTTGTTTCTATAATGACGGTACTTGACGAGTTAATGTCATTCAAGAGACATAATAAGTAATTTTAACAATACGAAGATGGTGTAGGGTTTATGAAATATGTCTCAGGTCATAGCTTACTGAGGCAGTTGTCTGCATTCACTTTTACTAGACTCGGACTAGTCTGAGAACTATTCCGACAATTAAATATAAATCTGCGGAAACCCAATTCTCAAACAAAACCTATCGAGCAAAAACCGCCTCAATTATAGTAGCTTCACTAACAATTCTAAACTCAATTTTCCCAATCACAATATCTGCTCGTGTCGACAGACTATCAAATTTTTTCCCTCACGTGTCACTACAATCTAAGGCAATGACAAACAAACAGATAAATCAGGGCTGGCAGTAATGGTGGTGGTCCAGTGCCCTCGAACGTGCCCGCACCCTACTGCATCCTTGTTAACTAACGGTAATTAGCGTGTGTAGTGTGTGTGTGTGTGTGTGTGGTGTGAGTTGGGAGAGGAAGAGAGAAAATAATGCTTATTTTAAACTTATCATTAGCATTATCACAAAATTTTACGGGATAGGTAGTTGGGCAGATAGGTTGCCCAATACATAGGTGTCCATAGGGTCAGGGATGATATCACTATCTTACAAAGAAGTGTTGGAAATGCGCTGCCAGCGTTTTAATTGCCTTCATTTTATTTTAATGTCCGTCTGGTACATTAATTTAAAACATTAGACACGTATTTTTATTCTTTTCTCACAAAAATAAATACATTCGACGATATAATAATCTGAAATACCATGTGACGTCACAATATGCTACATTTTGTAGTACTTAGTGACGTAACGACCTCCCACTTCTAAATTTATTGTAACTTTATACGGCAAAATAAAAAAAAGTGTCTAATATTGTTTCATTATCTAACTGACGGACTTATTAGATTTTTAATTTTAATTCCCTGGCAACTACCCTATTACTGGGGCCTATTTGTTGCCCGAAATCTAGATAGTCGCCCTAGTACATAAGTATTAGAAGAAATAACATACATCTTACAAGAAAAATGCAACAATCAGAAACGCTTATCCTTGGACCACGGAAAACTGGTAGCAACTAATAAGTACTAATTCAAACCTCCACGACTTGTGTTACTAATAAGTAAGTGACCAAGTTGAGATAATATTATATACTGTTTACTTTCTATTTGTGCCTATCAAGCATGTTGGAGATTTAACTGGATACTAAGATAATCTTTCAATGAAGCGATAATGTACGATTATTTTCAAGAAGACTTAAAGGCTAAAGCTAAATAAGTGTTCGTATATTCGTGACACAGTCAAGCAAATAACCACATAGTTGATTTGGATTTTATCGTTGACTTCGTTTTACAATATTCTTTCTAATTAGGTATGTGTAATATAATGGTGATAGGCTGATTCTTTTATTACATAGGTTTTACCACATAATCCGCATGAAGTTAGTGTTACTTGCGTGGCTGTTTAAATTTATTTATATATATATATTTCGTGGTAGACGTTTGGCTACTATCTCGCATGGCGGTAAGCAATGACGAGGCCTACGATAAAGCACGGCTGTAATATAATATTTTATTTATTTATTTATTTATTTATTTATTTATTTAATGCTAACAACTACCATTACAGACTAATCCAATACGATAGTGTGGCCATCAGTCTTACAAATACTTAATTATTCCAGTATTTACTTATTATCTAATTAAATTAAATTTTAATTTGTGCCTTATACTAATCTAGATACCTACACAATTCGGATAAAAACAATAAAAACTGTTATAGTAAATATTTAAAACTACAAGTAACTATTTATATGTACAGGTAATCATAAAATTTAAATCTTAAATATAACACCTAAAGACATACACTATTTCACTTAACAACTATTAAAATTGACCACTTAACAAACAAAATAAATTTACTGCTTCTATAATAAACAATAATTAAAGAAAAGGATAAACAATAATATTATGAGATCACAAAAATCTATTACAATATAATATAGGAACTTATGTGTAATAATACTCTAATGAGATCACTCGTATTTCCGGAAAATATATCTATACGGCTATGAACCTCATTCACCATGCGAATGGTTCGTGTGAGCGGGGTCTTGGCCAGCAGATTGGTCCTGGCCACAGGTACAGCAAGCAGTGGCGGACGATGTCGCCTCCACACGTACCGGTCAGGTACGCACAGCTGCAGGTGGCGCAGTACTCCCGGGTTATGTGTCACACCTCGCAACAACTTCACTACATAAGCCCCCAGAGTAAATTCCCTGCGCACTCTTAGCTCATTATACCCCACCATACCCAATACAAATAATGTCGGGTACATTAATGGATAAAAAGGGTATACACCGTACAGTTTGAAGTACAAGTGCCTTGTGAACTTATTCTGAACTCGCTCTAACATGACACTGTACTTCGCTTCATACGGCGCCCAAATGACTGCACTATGTTCAAGGTGACTCCTGACCAAAGCATCATACAGTACCTTGAGCGTAGATACTTTATTAAACCCCTGTGTCTGCCTCAGTACAAACCCTAAGTTCCTGTAAGCTTTTTTACATACTTTAATAATGTGTTCCCGAAAGGTTAAGTCTGGTGTCATTATGACTCCCAGATCTCGAACCTGAGCAGCCCGCGTCATTGGTATAGACTCCACCGTGTACTCATAATGTGTTGGTCTTTTTGCACGAGTAAATGTCATCATGGAGCATTTGTCCACATTGAAATGCAGTCTATTCTTCTGGCTCCAATCTACTACTCTTTGTATATCTTCTTGAAGACGTTCAGAATCTGATACATCTTTAATTTCCAGCAGCAACTTGAGGTCATCAGCAAACAACAAACAAAGTGCATGCTTGACTACCTCTGGCAAATCGTTGATCATTATAATGAATGCCAATGGCCCCAAGTTGCTACCCTGACTTACTCCAGACCTAGCGAAATATGGTTCAGACTCGGACCCCCTGTAGTCAACATACTGCTGCCGGTTCTTC